ATTTGTATTACAGAGCTCATTGTGCAGATGTGCATCTACGTCCATCCCAAAAGCACAATCTGTAAGTTGAAAAGGTTTATTTATGCAGTAATATGATTATGTGAATTTTTATAAGTTATGCATATGTTTAAGAACTATTTACATGTGACACGCTAAATGTAACTCGAGGCACATAATTGTGATGCTAGATTGTTCATTCATCTCATACATCGCTATGTTGTGTAAAGGTGGTTTATATGCATCTTACATTTGACTGCATCTTACATACTGTTTTGAGCCATGTGAAGTGACTAACTTTGTAAGAGATAGTATTTTTTCAATTTCTTTGTTCATTTGTGTTGCAGTTTCCCAAATTGGTCTCCAGTAAAGAGAGTTTGACCCTGACTTCTGTCTACGGCCTTTTCTGAGGCTTTGTTTAGCCTGCTGCCAAAGCAAAATGAGAAAAGAGAGCAGACAAGTGACTTCTTATATAAACAATAAAAACATTTGAACGGTAGTGTAAATACAAACTTCAGAAATGTGGCTGGTAACCATTCTAGAGATGTTATGTCTGAGGTCAGCTGAACAATTAGAAAAATACAATAAAAAAAAGTTTATCTCTACAGTGAAGAGACATCAAACAGAAATATGATTATTAATCTTAGCACATTAACCATATCTGCAGTATATGAGAAGAACTCAAACAAAAGTAGTACAGAATTGTTAGTTAAAGACTGGGAGTGTGCTATCAAGTTCTCATAATCAGTCCACATAAGAATAAGTCATGTATCAACCATATGAAGAGTGATTTATGAGATATTAAATGGGTCTTCAGGTCTCTCAACACCAAACAGAGCATTAGAATTAATTAAAGGTTCTCTAAGCGATCCTGGGTGACGTCACTTCTTGTTGACGTTCGAACTATTGTCAAACAAAACGGAGGCTAGCTAGACCCTCCCTCCTCCTCATCCGCACACTAACCCCCCAAACCACACCCCCAAACCCTTCTTGTCGGTCATTGGCTGGAATAGTTTATTATGTTTCAGGGAGCGGGTCGCTGCAGTTTGCTTTTGTTGCTGTTTGTGGAGCCTGGGCTGTCTACAGAGATCGCGTTTCTTTACAGTGTGTTCAGGGGACAGGCAGCCAGCGGTTAGTGAGGAGATGTTTGCTGTATGTGACAAAAAATTTTTTGCCCTAAAAAACGCGTGACATCGCTTAGAGCCCCTTTAACATTCTATACCAATAATATCTGCAACTGTTAATGATCACAGGCTTTGCTGAGAGCCACGGCACGGCAGGAGACAGCCATAATAATGCTGACGGCCTTTCATTTCCTCCCTGGACAATGGCTGTTACACTCAGGAAAAAAATGAGCTGGCACTGAAAGCATCCTCATAATGCATGTCTGCTCTGCTTCTTGGCATTGCAACGAGTGTGTATACGTCTGTGAGTGTGTGAGCCAGTGTGAAATAATGTGGGAGACAGTAAAGGAGCAAGCGAGGACTCCCTCAGAAGCAGAATACCGGGCATCCCCCTGTTCTCCCCCTCCGCCCTCGCCTTTCTCACATCCTCTATGATTCTTCCTCTTTTCATCTTCAGTCGCTCCGCTTCCCTACTGCGGCAAACGCTCGTCCCATTTCCATTCATCATGCATTCATTCATTTCCTCCGCTCTCATTCGTCTGTACTCCAAAGCTTAAAAACAAGGCATCTTCAGGGTCCTCTGGGAACAGCGTGGAGAGATGAAGAAAAGCAAAACGCAACTCGGTTGATCAACATCTCAGGTAGACGTCTGCGTAATAGTTGTGTGAAAACCAGAGCCGACAGCTCTTCGTTTTTTTTTGCGCTAACATGCCATAGGGTTCTTTTAATGAAGGCAGCTTGTGCTTGTCTACAGTCTCTCTAGGGTAGGAAGCTCATTATGGAGCACTAAACTCTCAGTCTTCCTCCTTTAGCAGGGTGAATTGATTAACAGAAACAGCATAGCAAACATCAAGGTTACACGCCTAATGTTAACTGTTATCTGACACATGAGGAACTCCCACAAACTCTAAGCAAGCACCATCTTCAAAATATTTGGATGAGAATATAATTGGACAAGGATTATGATGGCTGGTCTCATAGGAATTAGTAGATACAAAGACAAACTTGTTCCCTCCAGTCCAATTTTATCAGAGTCTGCTCAGAGTACAGATATTTTCATAATTGGCCCTTAAAAGTTGGAAAAAAGTTAAACATTTCTAGATGTAGGTGCAGTGATTAATTTGTAAATGAATAATTGTCGGAACCAAAACAACAATTAGAGTGCTGTGACCAAACTGACCATACAACTTAGTTTTCCTGGAACATGACGTCACTAAACTATGATGGCACAACTATAAAAGCATCATTGCATTCACAAGTTTCTGCATGGCCCTACACATTATTCCGCCACGTATTCTGTCTACATTGAGACCAAATATCATTCAGCTGATCAGTGATATTCTCTCATCGATGACGTTGTTGTCCAGGCGTGCATCTCTTTTGTCCATAAACTCCACCAGCTTTAATCGCGGATATGAAAATTTAAAATATGCTTGACTGTCTTTTTGACATTTTGAAGAAATTAACTTATTTTTATTAAAATAATTAGTCAGGTATATACACTCTGTCCAAACTTTCCGCTGCAAAACAATAAGCAGTAAGCACCAACCAATGAGAGTGATTTTGAACTTAAGAAAGATGATTGGTCAAAAATATATATGTTGAGGACCAATAGCAAAACATAACCTCCAAATACATCTGCATAAACTCGCGCTTGCTCTGTTTCACACATGTGCACGCACTGTCGCCATGTAATGCACTTGTTAATGTCGGATCATTTAAAAACAAATACTGGAACACAAAACAATTCTTGATATATACCCTAAACACAAGGTATTGTAGATTTTTTTTGGCCTGGAAATAAATAAATAAAAGTTTGGCAAAAAAAAATATAGGGGTACAAAAATATTTAAAAGCAGGGAGCAAGAAACCTTTTACAAATTTTAGATTTAGGTCACCAAAAATAGCCTTAAAGGTACAATATGTAAGAATTTTGTAATAAAATATCCAAAAATCACTTGCACAGTGTGATATATTTCCTGCAGTTGTGTACTTACAATATCCCAAAACTCTCCAAAGATTTTGTATTTCAGAGAAATTCCTATTTTAAATAACTGGCCGCCCCGGAAAAAAAATGTCGCCTGTCAATGACGCAATATCCGCACTATCCTCGGTTTCCGTTCATACTGCCATAGCCATGACGTAACCATGGCGACAGACGTGGACAACTTCGTAGTGCGTAACGTTTAGCGGCACGCAGTTCTTGTTTCTTTCAAACATAGACTAAGGCAAGCAGACTTTGGGACAAACAAGGAGAACTAAAATGAGGATCAATATCAGCGTGGCATTTTTGAGATGCCGAGAGCTCCACGTCCATGACTAACTTAGAGTTGACAGAGCTTCACGAGTGACGACTTGACAGCTTTATTAGACAGGTGAGCAAATGTACATAAAACAAATCAATGTTATGGTCAGTATGTTATTCTAATGTTGATCTAGCTTACTGCTAGTTTCGTATAGCAAACGAACTAACATGCAGTATAACATTATAACTTTCAACACACATTTAAATGCCGTTTAGTGTGATAGTGTAACGTTAGACCAAGTGAAGCAGCGCTGAGCCTGCGTTACCTCACAAGTTTAATTCGTCTAATAAACTGACCTGTGTGAGTAATTCAGCACTTGCGGGTAGTTCGGTAGAATTAAATGTCCTTATTATTTTATATCCGCGGGACTCGCGTGTGATATCTGTCTCTGTAGCAATCGCGACCTGCTTCATACCACTGTAATGTTAAAAAACATGAATGTTTGCACTCATCCATAAACATTATTAGATCCATCAGCTTGACAGCAAGTCCCATCATTCAGCTCATCACTGCCAACCTACGCCTTTGTTATTGTTGGGAACTGCGCCCTCTTGAGGCGAAAAAATCGTACATATTGTGCCTTTAACTAATTCGAAACGGTCAAGGATCAGTTGGATTAATTGGATGGCAACCACCCCAAACACTTTAAAAAACTGCTATCAACAACTTCACAACAATTTCACAACACCATAGACACTGCACTGTTTTGTACTAACAACCACTCAGAATCAGAACAAGGTAGAAAGCACTTAGCAACAGCCTAGCAACCACAGATGGCATGGCGGTGACAAGTTTTGAGAAAAATTCTTGAAAAAAATGTACTGTAAAAATCCAGGTAGTCTTATTATTCATTGAGAATAGGATGTGTATTTAAAAAAGGCGGGGTTAGTAGCAAATAAGTGATAACTTGGGCTGAAAATTTAACATGTCAATTTACTGCAATCAGTTAAAATAAAAAGTTATGGGTCAGTAAGATTTTGTAATGTTTTTGGAAGAAATCTCTTATGATCACCAAGGCTGCATTTATTTGATCAGTAATATTGTGAAATATTATTATTTTTTTAAGTTTTTTTTATATTTGAATATATTTTAAAATGTAATTTATTCCTGTGATGGCAAAGCTGCATTTTCAGCATCATTACTCCAGTCTGCAGTGTCACATGATCCTTCAGAAATCATTCTAATATGCTGACTTGGTGCATAAGAAACATTTCTTATTATTATCAATGTTAATCTTTTTGTGGAAACCGTGAGACGGTTTTTCAGGATCCATTCAAAAGAACAGCATTTATTTGAAACAGAAATCTTTTGTAACATTATAAATGTATTTACTGTTACTTTTGATCTAGTTAATGCATCCTTGCTGAATAAAAGTATTAATTTCTTAATAAAATAATAATCAATATTTATCAATATATTTATTATTTTTAAATATTATATAATAAATAATTTTATTATCTTACTTCATATTACAATTATAGAATGTCTATATATTTAATAGAAAAACAACAACAACGCAATTAATCATGACCCCTTACTTGTATGTAAATTCTGTAATAAGAAATGTTCCTACCATTGAAGCAATTCAATCTTGAAGTATCAACTTCACGTTTTTGCAAGAACGCATGGCGATCTGCGACGCAACGAAATATTATGCAATTAATCTGATTGAATGTTTCAATCGATTAACAGCGCTAGTAATAAGATGTAAAATCACTTAGCAATAAGAAATGAACATGCAGAGAGTGCACTCAGTGTTAGCTGACTCACCGGCTGGCTGTGTGCAGAACTCCACCGAGACCTCCTTCTTCTCCCTCTGCTCAAGGGGAAGCTGCCAGGGCATCTGATGGGGTCGGGCCACCACCCGTATCTTATACACAGTCATGGGCTTCAGGTTGTAGAAGTGGTATTTGTACCCTCCAGGCTTCACTACATCATACTCCCCATCATTCAGGAAGATCATGTGGCTGTAGTTACTGTTGCTCGGCATCCAGGTGAGTTCAGCCGAAACTTGAGTGATGTTCTCCACACGAAGGTAATAGGGTGCCACCACCACATCTTTCCCCACCAGCAGTGTGCAGCGCAGCGGATCGGAGAGCCCCCGCTCTGTCATGCTCTGGATAGAGATGCGGTGAGTACAGGAGGCCAGGTTCAGCTTCTCGATCAAAGACTTGGTGCGGCCGCCGAAGGGCACGCTCATGCGCACCTCCTGATCCACCAGCACGTTGTAGCCACTGATGGGCGTCCACCCAGGCAAAACCACTGGAGGCTCCCAGCTTATAATGACACTCTTGGCCAGCTGTTTGATCAAGGTAATGCGGCGGGGGTAAGGCACGATGTCTTCTCCGATCTCATCAATGTTCACGTCCAGCGTGCCTGTGCCGTTGCTGCAGGGTCCCAGAAAGTCCATGCCCAGCCCAATGCTCATGCCCAAGCTGCTCACCCCACTGCTGCTGCTGGTGCCCGTCCCGGTACCCGAGCCCAGGGCATCCAGCCTGTCTGAGAGCAGCGTGCTGAGCGTGCTCACGGCGCTGCTCGGCATGGAGGGGGGGCTGTGGTTGAGGTAGGACGGTTCCTTGATGCGGTCCAAGAGAGGAATCGAGGGAAGCTCCTCATCCTGGACAAAGTCCACAAAGTTGGAGGGAACGAGACCCTGCTGTCCATCCAACAACTCCCCTGAAGTGCAGAAAAGGGCATTGAGTGGTGAAAAAGAGCATGAGGGAGAAAAGACTATTCATGCTACAAAAAGATATTGTTATTAGGAAAAATGTCAACATGGGAAAGAAAACTGCACTTGTCAATGTCTTCATAGGACCTTTAACAATTTTGACAACTTACACTACAGTATATTAGTCACACTCAGGAAACAGCAGCAGTCGAACACTACTATTTATAGTAGTGAAATTGTTTTTCAGAAATTGATACTTTTATTCAGCAAGGATGCATTAAATTGATGACAGTAAAGGTGACAGTAAAGCCATTTAAAATGTTACAAAAGGCTTCTATTTTGTTACTTTTTGAACTTTTATCATGTGACACCTAAGACTGAAGAAATGACGAGCTTTGCCTTCACAGGAGTAAATTACATTTTATTCAAATAGAAAACAGTTATTTTAAATTGTAATCATATTTCACAATTTATTTGATCAAATAAATGCAACCTTGTTGAGCAGAATACCTTGAAGAGACTCTTATTGACTTTTTAAAAAATCTTATTGACCTCAAACTTTTAAATGATAGTATATAACCACTCTGAACAAGTCTAGTCCTGTATTATGACATACCTTCGTAGAAGCCGTCTTCATCCATGGTCCCATAAACATACAGGTACTTCCCAGCCACCAGGGGGAGCTCTGCTTCAGGATGCTCATTGGGGCCATCATAAGGGTTATAACTGCAGAGGACACTGTATTCAATTCATGATTTTTCTTAACATTTTTTTTTATTAAACCCTATTTTGTAAGGTATATTCTTGATTAAATCAAACCTACAGGAGAAATGTATATGTTTTGATGGTAAACTATTAGTGGAAAATGCTGATATAACTAAGCAATTGGTAGGTTAATTTCCCTGAAATGTTAAACACTGTAGCTCTGTGGCAGCTACAGTACAAAACATTGCTTGGTTTGTTCGGGCATCCCGGCCAGCTTGATATAGTGGAGTGCAAGTGGAGTTTGAAACATTATTTTTCATTATTTTTGTAAAAACCATCAGCTTGCCCATTGGCTAAGTGGAGCCAATGGGCAAGCTGGCTGAAAGGTTTAAAGCAAAAATGTGAAGCTCGTATTTTTGGTAAATATTTTCTATGATTGTATGACAGCGTATCTTAAATGTTAATCTGCTGTGCTTGGTAGAGGAGTCAAAATTCTTGTATGTGGTAATTGATTGTGTGCACAGATGTTGTTGATACACTTAACTTGTACTTAACACAGACTTGATGCAGTCACTAACGCTATTCTACACCTAATTATTACAGCTAATGGCATGATATAACAAATCATTACAGCTAACGACACACTATAACCTATTATTACAGCAAACGTCCAATTGTAACGTATGGTAACATGTAACAACAGCTGTAGTGGATCCACTTACTTGTAACGGGCAACACACAGTCTCACTTTGCCTGTGTATCTGGACTTAGACCTGGGGGACGATCCGGGCTCTTTATCCATCTAAAAGAGAAAGGGGGCATTACAAATTTCTTGCATATGGGCCCAGGGCATGACTTGCTACGCCACTGAAACTCTTAGACCTCAAGATCGGATTTGAAAACCAAATCTAATTATGTGCAGTGTGAACAAAGCCTAAGAATGTCAATGACAAATCAATGGGTTGTAAAGAGAATACATGGTTTTCACATTTTGATTTTTGATAATGTTTCAGGCAAAAACTGAAATCTGAATTAATTGAGAACAAATTCTCGTGTGCAATCTGATAATGTGGGCGATTAAGCCAATAGCACCAGCGGAGCACAGTCTGAGCAGACAGATTGGACTATTCACACCCACACACAATTTCTCTCTCTCACACACACACACACACACACACACACACACACACACACACACACACACACACACACACACACACACACACACACACACACACACACACACACACACACACACACACACACACACACACACAGTCTGTCAGTGTATACTGTAATTATTCTCATAATGGCCAAATCACTGTGGTACGACACACTACTAGAATCTACTTTTCTCTGTTGGGTTTTTATATGTTAGAATAGATTATATTCTATTCTATTCATTTGACTCTATACAAACGTTATTTTGTAGACAATTTCAGTGTTTTATAAATTTTAACTTTATAATAAATTCAAATAAAATATTAAATTTTTTAAAAAACATTTTCTCCATTGATTTGCATTGTTGCCTTTCAAAAGGAAGGGGTTCAATCATTGTAATATTCGCATACTGAATTGCTATTAGACTTCTTTCTTGCATGTATTTGGAATTTTTTTCCCATCTATAGCTGCCTTTATCGGGTTCTAATTCTTGCATTTACTTTACACACAGAACAAAAGTCTAAAACCTATTAAGGGGTCATGAACTGAGAATTAAAATTTTCCTTGATCTTTTGACAGTTAAGAGTTCGTTATACTATGAAAAATACCCTGTAAGTTTCAAAACTTCCTTGTTATTCCAAAAACTGCTTTTATTGAAACTAAGGCCAGAAAACGACAGGATCTAAAAAGCGGTGACTTATGACGTCACAGAGCAGCGAAAGACCATTGTGAATGTCTCAGCAGTGCATTGTTCATTTTACTGTGGATTATTTGGTCAATTTCGGCGCAGACTTTTACGATATGGATCTGCCAGCAACGCTCCAAACATGTAAGTAATCATGTTTATTCTAATGCCTGATCTGTGATCAGTGATTTCTGATGAATAATTATAATAAATAAGTTCAGACAGATTATCTCTCAAAATCGTTCAATACTGTTTATGCATCAGTAAATCAAGCCAGTAACTAAACGATCAACTTCACGTTGTTTCTCTTAGTAGAATGAAAATACTCTCATTTAAACTGCGATTAAAGTACATACAGAAAGCGATCAAAGAATGCTCTTTCCAATCGCCCAAGCTGTCAATTACACAGCACGAGTTTATCTGGACACTTGCCAAAATGTTGTGTAATCAATGATGCTGTTACAATGTACAACAAAGCTCATACTGTATTTACATCGTGTTTGCATTGTTATTTGGTGAAAGCATTCGTGAAAGTGCAGGAATTGCATTGCAATAATGAGACCTCTTCATTCACGCGATCAACAGACTCTATATCATCTGCTCAGTGCTCATCACTGCAACCTTTCATGTGATGGGAATACATCTACCTTTTCACGATTCGTTAATCTCGATAGCTGTAATAGTAAAAACGTAGTAAAAGATTTCGAGAGAGTTCCACTTGCAATACTAGTTATTTCATATGCAAACATGTCAGCCAATCACAGCAGTGGGAGTTTACACTGAAGTCTCACAGCAGACACGGCCCTCCAAATCAGAGGCTAAAATCAGGCTTGGAAAAATGCCTTTTATTTCTAGATTATGACCATTTTTTATGTAAAGATCATACTAACATTACAAGGGCACACCAGGAAACATTATAATCCAGTTCATGACACTGTTTTGTGCTGGCTTTCGGTTTAAAAGATTAAACTAAAATGAAAGTGTGAAGGGTTAACATTAAAGGTAAAATGAACTGACACTGATTGGTTGGTTTGTTTGAGATACTCACAGCAGTGGCGATGACGGGCCGCACCTCTGAGAGGAAGGCCCGTCGTGGGCTGGCGGGTGTGCTTCGTGACAGGAAGGTGGGTTTAACAGACAGGAGCTCTACCTTCTCCCCCTCAGTCATCTGCAGAGGCCGAATGAGCTCTGAGATCTTACTCATCGAATCCTCATTACCTTCACACACACACACACAAAAGTGACTGATTACTTCATTACTGTGTACAGCCCCATCTCAGCACATCATCACTGCTGTTGATCTTATCAGCCTCCAGATTTTTCAGCATTAGATATTGTTTCATATGGTCTAATTGGAAAGGTAAGGGATAAAAGATGGCAAACTGAAGATAAACAAATATGAAGTGAACTGTAATCAATCAATCCCGTACATGAATGAATATACAAAAGGGATTTGGACAGAAACTATACACTACTGGTCAAAAGTTTGGGGTCGATGAGATTTTTTTCATGTTTTTAAAAGAAGACTCTTATGATCACCAAGGCTGGATTCATTTGATCAAAAATACAGTAAAGACTACTGAAATATTAACTCAATTCAAAAGAACTGTTTTCTATTTTAACATATTTTAAAATGTAATTTATTCCTGTGACGCAAAGCTGAATTTCAAGCATCATTACTCCAGTCTTCAGTGTCACGTGATTCTTCAGAAATCATTCTAATAGTGACTATTTTGTGATTTAAAACAAAAACAAAAAACAGCATTTATTTAAAATAAAAATCTTTCGTAACATTATAAACGTCTTTACTTTCCCTTTTGATCAATTTAATGCATCCTTGCTGAATAAAAGTATTAATTAAAAAAGTATGAACTGTATTTAACAAAATGACAAAACTTAAAACCAAATGCCATTTATTTTAAACAAATAAATCAGCTTCAAAATGATAAAAAAAATCATTGTTATATTGATATACTGTATATAGATATATTGTTTAGAATTAAGCCAAAAAAAGTGTAAGCCACTATCTGGTTGTCAAACAGTAAAAAATGACTAAATTAAGTTAGTTCTGAGAACATTATTTGTTTGCAGATGCAAATTGATTTTATAACACAAAGACAAAGATGCCCAAAATATTCCAATTATGTTGAGGTCCTTGTAATTTATTTATCTACTATTTTGTAAATTAATTAGAATGAATGAAACAGTAAAATGTCAAATATGGATTTTCAGCACAAAAGAAATCATACCATGTTGCTTGCTATGTTACCCTGTTAATTATTTCAGGAAGTGTCAACACATGATCTTCTTCAGAGTGCATACAGTACCTTTCCCGGAGGGGGCAGAGAGGCCGTTGAGGAGCTGGGAGAGGGTGAGGGGTTTGGTGGGTGAACCGGGAGAGTCGCTCCCTGTGAGCTGACTGCTGCTCAGGATGTCTAACTTCCCAGCCTGCAACCTGAACTTCTCCAACTCTTTTGACAGCAGGTTAAACTGCTCACTCTGCGTCCGGCATTTTTCCTCCAGATCTCTCACTTTAGCCTGGAAATAAAAAGAGGGATGGAAAGAATAGGAAAAGAGAAAGGCTAGTTTTAAAAACCGTACAGAGACCAATTTGGTCTGGTCTGTAATAAAAAGCAAGATTCTAGCAGCAGTGACATTTACAATAGTTAACATCTGCACTTCACATTAACTAACCGAACAAAGCTAATGAATGGAGCCAACGAACTCTACCAGCTGTGGTAAGCAACCTACAATACTACAAGAATGGCCCACATCTAAAAGGAGGTTTTTCCTACCAAAAATCGCATTGTGTTCTTAGTGCGAAGGACACTTCTCAGCTTCAGACACCAACAGAATCAAACAAAGACAGGAGTCAATCTATGTTCAGCTGTTATTGTACAACAAATCTCTTTTTTTGGTCATGAAGTTAGCAATGGGAAGAAATATTACATGGAGGAGGGTACCACACATGCCAAAATAACAGTAAAAGCTGTTTATGCCTGATGATTTGACGAAACTCACATGAATACTTGTACATCAATACTATTAACTGCATTAGAGGTGTGAGTTTGCATTTTAATCATGTCAACATGGAACTGAAACTTGTCTTGTGCAATATGTTTATGCACAGTTACAAGTTCACATAAATCACTAAGCAGGGCTTTTTGTGCAAGGAAATTAAAGGAGGGTGGTGGAAGGAAGACATGACACGTCCATCAGTCATGTTTACTGTTGCTGATCTGATCTGCAAACGCACATATCCATGAGGCGCTAACAGCATTCAGCACAAGGCAGCAAACATGCATCGCAACACAGGAAGAGCAGAAAAGATCAGGCAGTGAATGAGATACTTTAACCACTGAGAACAAACTTACTTTCATGAATATACCCTCAACTACAGAGGCTGTTCATTTATCTCCTGTTAAGCATTTGTACTATCCAAAAAATAAAAAATAAAAACTGCCTCTCAAGAGGAATGAGGGTACAGCTGGATGGTTTCAAACAATCTGGTTTAAAAAAATCTACAGTAAAAGACAATTTTTTACCCTTTGTTAAAGATGGTAGAGTTTGTGATTAGTTAATTATCTATTTGGAAGTATATGCCACCAGCCATTTTACAAATACATTTTACAAATACATTTCAAATAGCAGTAACAAACAATTCATTAAAATATTTAAATATAATCATATTTTTTATATTTAATTTTATATTGATATTTTTATTTCATGTACACTATTTTATACATATATTGTTAAAATAGTTTTAATTTAATGTAATAATTATTTTATATTAATAACATTAGAAACAATTTAATTTAATTATCATTTAATTATTAGCAACATTATATACTGTTATTAATAATAACACACACGCACGCACGCACGCACGCACACACACAGTGTATATATATATATGTATATTTTGTTTAAAAATGCAATAAAAAGCAGTTATTTGGCATTGAAGACAAAAGCGTGCAAAACTTGACCTGTTTTTATACATTAAACATTTATAAAACACATAAACAACTTTTGTCAGGTATGTATAAAATGACTATGAAGTTTGATGGGTTCTCCTAAAACGGTTCAATATTTTGATCTATGGCGATATAGATCAAAGATATTGATCAAATGTTTACAGATCGATCATGGAAATGAGCAGTAATTGACAGGACAGCTAAACGAGGTGACAGGAACTACCCCAATGAGTCACATGGGGAGGGAGAACTTTGAGGAAAAGTAACTCGAAAATACCTGCATGCTGTCCAAGTGATTCTGTATATGCAACAAACAAAAACAAAAACAAAAACAAAAAAGACCAGTAACATAGTGACAAGAGATGTAAGAAACCAAACAAATCACAGTTACACACACAAGCATTTCTTCAGTTTCAGAAGTCACAAAAACCCAACATGAGCACTTCCCCCCCTCCCCCATTTCCCCTTAATTGCCAATTAATGGCAGCAATGAATGAAAAGAACAAGGCAGAATATGGTAAATAAATCATAAAATGTATATCAAAGAGATGTAAATTAGTTTAAAACATTAAATAATGAAACTAATCAGCAAGGATATGCACACAAGAACTTACTTTATTAGTTTATTTAATAAATTTGTCTGAATAACTCAAAATAAAAAGGTGTTAGCTAAGATGTGATTAATATGGTAGAAATATTTTTGGCTAATATGAAAAAATACATGATGACGCATGTGGAATGTGCTGTACTTTAAAGGTCAGCCAAGATACGATTTAAAATTCATGCTTATATGCACACTCACATACACATGCACTAACATTCATGAGCAGACATCGTTACTCACCTCTAACAGATGGACGGCACCTTCATGTTCCTTCTTAGCCTCAACCTGAGCCTATAAACAACACAAAAATAATATATAACACCATTAATACCAAATCAGTCACATGCTCCTAATAAATGTCATGGCCAGAAATATTCCTATATGTTCCCATATCTCGCTATACTGGCAGATCAGCCCATCTTTTGCAAGCTGCTCCAAATCTCAGATTTGCATTTTCAAAGGTATTTAGATCTGAATTTCTTGCTTGCCAGTTTAGGACAGTCCAGTGTTGTGATTTTAATGATTCCTATTTCCTACGTGTTTTGTAAAGGGTTTAAGCATAGTTTTTTGACATTTTGACAGTTTTTTGTTTTAATTACATTTATTTAAATATCTTTAACTTTGCTAGACATTTCAATTTCTTTAATTATAGCCAAAGCAAATGTAGTTGCTTTGCCTTTTACCAAATCGTTTTGTTTGAAACCAATTATTTTTGTTTTCTTATAATACACTATTTACTTATTTTAAAACAATTTTATGAAATGGATTCATTCATAATTCATAATATAATTTAGTTCGTTCAGTGTGATAGAAATTTGTCATATACTTGAAATGCATAAATCTGAAAATATTCTTAAAAATTCTAGTACCAGGATTGGTTGAATAAGCTGTAGGCAACACAGACCAACGCAGTACATTCATTGTAGGGCCATGAAGACTAAAATGTTACTGTTTAATGTTATTTTTTTAATATTATTTTTCTTTATTCATTTTCATAATAATTTCATAATGCATTTTGTGGAGTCAGAGTATGTTGTACATGTGTGCTGAGCAGAGATATGGGATGAGCTATATTTTGCATACAAGTATGTGTTGATTCTTTTCAAGGAAAGGAATGTTTTTTAACTGATGCAATGCACCACAAATGTATACACTGAAGGGAAGTTTCTTAATATGGAAAGTGGATTGTGCCACGTGTAAGCGTGAGTTATACCTTCCATTTTTAAACATAAGCAACATGTTTTGCTACCTTACAAGGAAGTTGTAAATCCCTTAGTGGTGTATATAAGCTCAATTCTTACTGTACCACCCCAGAGAAACGTAGAGGCATAATGGGGATGAGGGAGGAGAAACGCCGAGAAACATAAAGGCATGAGGGGGTGAGGAAGGAGAAACATAGAGAAACAATTACAGCTGGCATGGTGGGGTGAGGGAATAGAGAAATGGGGAACAGAGAAATCTGGAATGAAGACCTCCTCACCTATAGCCTCATTCTGCTATGCCTGTTTCTCTCTATCTGATACATGTATAAAATAATAAATAGAAATCTCTTGACAAAAGTAACTGGTGTAGCTTCCGTGATTCAACCATAACGGGGGAAAGCATGATTTTCAAATCTACAGGTCATATATTGTAACTCTCAGCAGCTGTGCAAAACAGCCTTCAGTTCCACATGAATAGAGAAACATCTGTTTTCAGAAAAATGTATGGAGATAGACCTTTAGAACAACAGAACTGCGTTCTAATGTCTTGACTTCTGATGAGTACGTGTGTGTGTCATTTCCTCTTTGTTTATTCTCCTCTGTAATCACGGTGCTCCATTCAATAAAGACAGACAATAACTCAAACGTTTCAGCGGGTGACAATGTTCTCGCATTCTGGAGAAAATGTCAGATCTGATCACCTGCTCTGCCGTTTCATTAGAGAGTAATTTACTCTGGGCGGTGAGACAGCAGCACTTTTCTCTTCATTCAAAAGAGAAATAAGTAGAATATATCAGCAAGTTACCTGAAACTGCTGAAACACCTTTTCATTAAACATCTCTCTTCATTAGGAGCACTTTGACAGCTGGATTTTAATATTGGGTGTTTCTTCAACTTCAGGCGATTTTGTGTCATGGGGGTTGATTTTTAATTAAAACTAACTTCTTTCTTTTTATTATATGAAAGTCACATTAAAACTCAAATCTCAGAAACTTTTTTACCACCCTTAATCATTCATCTTTTCAAAATATCTTATATGTAAAGATTTGTATTGCCCTAGCTAGTTTCTATCTTAAATTGTGAAAATCCATTAGGGTCCTCACACCATCGGTGCTCGGGCCCTAAATATGGTACATATTTCTAAATATTAAAATCTAAACAAAGAGCATAAATAACCCATTTAAATCTTATATGTAAAACTTTTGGTTGTGTTGGGACAAATGTTTTTTTTATCCCCCCAAACAAGCTATAATTTTGTCAAATGATCCAAAATGTTTGAAAATACTATTTAACTGTATTTATTTAAGGATACATATAATACTATGAAATCAGCCTTAGCAAAACAAAGTCAATTTTCCAGTAATGTTATTGTAAAAAAATAAAAATAATTATAAAAAATAAACATATTAAAGGCAAATTCCTTAAAATAAATTAAGACACACATACAGCCCATTGTTAATTAAATACCCTATTTCCAGTCCAAAATCGTCTGACAAAAACCCACCAGCTGATTAACCATCTAAACCAGCTTTGACCAGACTGAAACCATGCAAAACAGTTTATCACCAGAATCCAGTCAGTTTAATCAATGTGTTTAATCAGACACCAGAAGCCTTAAGCGTGACACAAGGTCTTGTAAACTGTAGTCTGTGCTTGAGCTTGATCCTATGGTATGGTGTGGTTGGAAACCCTGACCTCTTACCTTCTGCAGAAGGTCAATCTCCTGCTGCTTGGCACTGAGGACGGCCAAGGCTTGTTCATGCTCTAATTCTAGCTGCTGCCTCCTCTCTGCAGCCTCTCGCATATGCTGGGAAAGAGAGAAGAAAGAGCAGGAGATGAGAGGAAACTTAGCAAAGGATGAACACAGACAGAATGAGAGCAACCATCAATCATTGTTGAAGGGATAGTTCACCCAAAAAAGAAAACTCAGTACTCATTTACTCACCCTCAAGTTGACGTACTTTATTGAGTGGAGCACAAAAAGAAATATTAAGAAGAATGTCCAAGCTGCTTTTTTCCATGCAATCAAAGCGGATGGGGACCAAGGACAGCCGTGAAACCATTGACTTTGTATTGTAAAACAGCTTGGACATGCTGTTATATAACTACTTTTTTGTGATACACGCATAGTCAAACAGTATGGATTTGGAACTGTGTTAGATGGATAATACTAAAATCTTCAATTTTGGGTGAAATAATTCCATTAAAAACTTTTTAGGTCACAGAGCTTTTAGCTGCTGTTAACACTCGACAAAGAGTCCCTGCACTGATCTATAGACCCTCTTTTTATCAGTCTCCAGGAGCACCAAAGACAGAAATCCCTTCTAATCCTGTAGTATCTGATCTAAACGCTAAGATTTCTGTCTTACTTGAGCACATCAACTCAGAATTAGGGGCCATTCACACTGTTTGAGTTTTTGCATTCCACTGCGCTGCTTTTCCACAGTTTTTCTATGTTAACATGCATGTTTGACTGTTGCGCTTGACAGTCTCATAAAAATGTGGCGCTCATGTTTCAAGAAGTTAAACTTGCTAAAAAGTGTTTCTAAATGTTGGGTTTTTATTTTATTCCATTGGCCTTGCATTTGCATGTATAAAGTCACCATTAAATCAAAATGGAAAATTCTAAAAATGTTATGGAATATTGTAGTATTTATTGTATTTTGGTAAAATTCATGTGCCCTCGCAATCTTTAAACAAAATAACTTCCCCTCCCTCTTGCAGTGACGTCTCTTCTCTGATGATGTGTTTACTGGCATGAGGGTGGGACAACCTGTCACTCACATGACATAACAACAATAGAAAACCACAACCATACAACGATCCAATCAATTCCCGATGGACAAAATCAAGTCCAGCCCTACGAGAAGCAGTTTCACTCAGATGTATACGCCACAATATAGGGAAGAAAAGACTATCGAAACTTCCGTCCATGCTGACTTTAAATGCAAAAACACATTCTGTGTGAATGGCCCCTTACTGTGGTAACACCTTGAGAACACTTATTTGTTGGCTTCTAAAAACTAAAGAACAGTTAAAGAACAGACAAAAATAAAGTCATTCTAAAACCATAGGCTGTTTCTTTAAATTATTTTTAGTGAATAGCAACTAAATTCCAGTCTGTTTATCAAACAAAGTATTCATTAAACAAAGTGAAAATATGACTTCAAAAAACAAAAAAAAACAAAAAAAAAACAACAACAGCATATGGGTTTGAAATGACATGAGGGGGAGTAAATGATGACAGAATCTTCATTTTTTTGGCGAACTATCCCTTTAAGCACTGAAAACAAGAGCAAAATGTCATCATCAATCAGGTTTTGTCATTTGCTTCACCCCTTCAGGTAAAGCAAAAACAGAAGTGAAGCATCATGTCAATCAGCCAGACAAAGCACAGCCACGGAGCTTCGCATGATCAATAAAGGCTCTTAAGGTTCACGGCTCTGTACATGAAAGGGTGTGTGCAAACAACACAGCATGTTCAATCAGCGCAGATTACTGCCCGACATCATCCCCAGAAGCTCTTCTGACCTGTTAAAAGTACACAGTGACAAAACCTAGCAATCTTCTTTCCATTTGTGAGAGGTGAGGTTACAGGGGATAAAGGGCAGAGGAGGAATTTTCCATGCTGCTATTAAAGAGGAGTGCAGGGAAGAGGAAAGTTAGAATAATCTAACCTTCAGAGGATGAACAAACTGTACTGTGTGTGAAATATGTTATGGTTATTTGATCATCAAATGTTAGTGAATATCTCTATGCCTACTGCTTATGGGACAAAGCATCTAATACAAATCTAAAGTGTCCCATGTGTATGTCTTAATAGATTATGAAGTACCTTTTACTTATTAAATAGCTTAATCATTTTAACAGCTAAATATTTAATTTATTTATTTACTTATTCTCTCACTCATTCACTCACTTACTCACTCACTTACTCTCTTACTTGCTCACTCGCTCACTCACTCACTCACTCACTCACTCACTCACTCACTCACTCACTCACTCACTCACTCACTCACTCACTCACTCACTCACTCACTCACTCACTCACTCACTCACTCACTCACTCACTCACTCACTCACTCACTCACTCACTCACTTGTTCGCTCATTCATTCACTTACTCATTCATTGATTCACTCATTCATTGATTCATTAGGGCCCGAGCACCGATAATGTGTGTGAGGACCCTCTTGGAATTGCTCTGTTGTTTATTCATGTATTATTTTTGGTTTGTGAGATCATTAATGATTACACTGTTCCAGCTTATTTAGCTAATAATAAGGCATCTGCATAAAAACTAGACAAATATTATTACCATAGAATACAAATCATATTTTATTGGTTTAGACTTATCTAAAGCAATAAAATATTGATGCTACTAGTTAGTTGGTTCCTTTTTTTTTTGTATATCAAGGCTGATAGTTTCAACATATTTCACACTTTGTACATTCAGCAAAACTGTCACCTTATAACTAAAAAAAAAAAAAAAAAAAAAAAAAAAAAAAATATTAAGTGTGTATCTCACATTCAAAAGAAGAGCTGGGTTAGTTTATTTCGTGAGGGGAGGGTGTAATTGTGCATAACTGTTGTGTCATGCACAAATGCATTCCACAGTGCCTTAGCTGGCCGATCATTTAGATCACATACAGCATCCAGATCAGTTGTTAGTACTCAGTCAAAAGGTCAACATTCAGTTAGTGCTGGCTTCTGTAAAGTCTTTAGATATACCTGATGAATGAAAAATATGGAAGGTGGCAGGGACAGGGAAGGGGCAGGAGAGGGTTAGACGTTAGGGGAGGGGTAGGGCGCTTCAGGACTCACAGATCCACACTTTGAGAGTGTACGACAGCTCTAAAAGGTACAAAAAAAATATCCTGTGATGCCATAAAAGAGTACAAGGGGAGAAAAAAAGGTTTGAAAACATAGATGAAAGTGGAGGTCATGATCTAAATCACCCTTAAACATGGCCAGCTGGGTTTCCTGAAACATGAGCTTGTATACTGACACAAATCACTCATAAAGGACTATAACATTTTCACTTTGCCACCTTTGAGCTTGACGACTCAACATATATGAAGGCTAATCAGGTAACCAGTGAGAAAAATATCCATATTGTACTTTTTATTTCTTGATCCTAAATTACAACACTTTAATCTTAGGTTGAAATGTCTTAATATGGTGAATCTCACGAAATGTATAATTTCATCCAAAAATTTTAAGGAAAAAAATGCAAAGACCAAACTCTGGATGGATGGATATGCAGCATAGATGGAAAATTACTTTTTACATTGCAAAACTAAAGAACTGAAGAAAAAAATTGTAGGATGGATGGATGGATGGATGGATGGATAGATCAAATTTTTTTGAATGGATGGATGGATGGATAGAGATAGATAGATAATTGTTTACAATGCAAAACGTCTCAGTTACGGATGTAACCCTCGTTCCCTGAGTAGGGAACGGAGACGTTCCGTCGGATGACGACGAATGGGGGTTTCGCTTAGAAGCCTATCAACTTCAAGTAATACAAAACGAGCCAATGGCAAAGAAATGCCATGGGTCTGCGGAATTTGCATAGCGTAACTCCGCCTCACCTTGTGGGTATTTAAGGAGAACGCTGGCAGCAATTCAGACATGTTTCTTCGCTGAGGAGCCAAGACTGAGCTCAGGCGATCCCCGCGGTACAGCGGAAAGTGGCAGGAAGACGGAACGTCTCCGTTCCCTACTCAGGGAACGAGGGTTACATCCGTAACCGAGACGTTCCCTTTCGTTGTCACTCCGAGTTCCGTCGGATGACAACGAATGGGGATACCAGTCTAATCACGCCACCTTCTCAGCTGTCTTCCAGTGCCCTGCGTAAATATGAGATCCCTGTCGTGAGACTAGCACGGACGAAGGACTCCTATTTAGCACAGGAATACCAAGGTACACTGGGGAGCATATCCCAGATTTTGGGGGAATATGCAATTACTGCCAACCCAGAGGGGGGGACTTAAGAATACACATATGACCCGAGGGATGCATATGGGGAATCACTGGGGTGTCCAGCCGCAGGTGGAATATTTCAACCACAGGGGTGGCAAGGTGGCTTGCCGAGGGAAAGACACATGCTCAAAGAGGCTTACAGTGGAAATACACATGTGGGGGTTACTCAGAGGAGGAACCATGCACACGGAGGCACCTAGCCGACGCACAGGCAATAGACACTGGCGCCAGCGTCAACAGTGCTGGAGGAACTCAGGGCTTCAGAGAGGAAGGCTCACCTGAGGAAATATCGCACGTATCCAGTCCGTGGAGTGGAATGGCGAGCAAGCGAAGACACCTAACGGCTCCCATGTTAGCTTGAAAAAGACAGTACATGGGAGGAGACTGGCTCCACTCGGAGATTGTAAAATCTGGCGAATGTGCAGCTCTGCAGATGTCTGTTAGCGAGGCGCCATGCGCTAAAGCCCAAGAGAACGCCACACTCCAGGTGGAGTGTGCGGTCACACCAAGGGGGCACGGTCGACCTTGCTGCTGGTATGCCAAAGCAATGGCGTCCACTATCCAGTGAGACAACCTTTGCTTGGAGAGAGCCTTTCCCTTCAGCTTCCCACCATAACAGACAAAGAGCTGGTCTGAGGTCCTGAAATACTGCGTTCTGTCTACATAGATGCGAAGAGCACGTACTGGACAGAGCAGTGCCAAGGCTGGGTCTGCCTCCTCTGGGGGCAGCGCTTGCAGGATCACCACCTGGTCCCGGAAGGGAGTGGTAGGAACCTTGGGCACATATCCAGGCCGGGGTCTCAGGATCACATGAGAGCAAGCCGGCCCGAATTCAAGGCACGCTTCGTCAACGGAGAATGCGTGCAGGTCCCCTACCCTCTTGATGGAGGCCAATGCAGTCAGAAGCGCTGTCTTCATTGACAGGAAGTTAAGCTCGACCGACTGCAAAGGCTCAAAGGGAGCACTGCGCAGGGCAGTTAACCCTTTGATGCGCAAGCTATGGATACCCCTTCTAATGCGCAACATGGGTCTAAAAAGACCCGTATTCATTTCCTATGTTATTTCAGTCATGGCTGAATGTTTCTTTGCTGAATCTTTAAAATATATGCATTTTATCATTTGTTATTCCAGGTATTGATTAAATATCTTGTTTTTGATTTCCACAAATCATTATGTTTATGTTTCCTTTCTTACTTTATAAACAAACACAGTTTTTGTATTTCTACATCAATTTTACATACATGGGTCTAAAATGACCCGTATTCATTTCCTATGTTATTTCAATCATGGCTTAGTGTTTCTTTGCTGAATCTTTAAAATATATGTATTTTATCATTTGTTATTCCAGGTATTGATTAAATATCTTGTTTTTGATTTCCACAAATCATTATGTTTATTTTTTCTTTCTTACTTTATAAACAAACACAGTTTTTATTTCTACATCAATTTTACATACACGGGTCTAAAATGACTGTATTCATTTCCTATGTTATTTCAGGTGGCTTTGACAGTTACAGATTTTAAAATCAAAAGGCGGGGAAAAAAGGACCCTAAACTCTTAACACATCGAACCATTTCAGCATAATGGCTTATTCAAGACTATACGGTTCTTAATAGAACTTTTAGGCCTATTACATGTAAATAAGCTTTAAAGGGGCATTTGGCAACTATTTCAACTTAATGAAACCGTTTAGAAATCATTTGGATGGTTTAATAATTGTTCTGGTGAAAATGGTGACTTTCCCTGCTCCCCCCAACGTTCCTAGGTGGAAAACCAACCTTGCAACATGGGGACTAACGTCCCAGTAAGTTGGAAACAGGAAGTCTTGTGAGAAGCGAGAACGAGCGAGAAACACAAAATGCTTTATGGCAATTCGACATAAACACACACGCCGCCCTCAATGTGTATGATGTATTACCCACCTCGGTATAGCTCCACACGATAAAGTTGGCCGGCTCCGATAATAACAAATGCTCATGAGCAGCGGTAGAAAGGGGGAGGAGGGGCCGCAAGTGAGTTTTTTTACAACATTGTTGTGAAATATACATCCCACAGCTGTAGGGGGAGCTCGTTGAGAAAACATGCGACAACAAAAGTGAAAATCAGCGAAGAAATAGCTAGAGTTGCTGAGTTCCCCTTTAAAAACCCATCTTTTTTTAGTGTAGCTAACATTAGCTAGCTAGAATAGAATATGTCGACAGCTAGCTAGCTAATAGTATTGGATATGTTTCTCTTTCTCACAAGTAATTTCTCACTAGGATTTCGTGGTCAAGTAACCATAGCCTAATATTCAAATATTATGTCCAGTTATCTTTTACAAAATATCAAATATTTTCTGTGGTTAAAATAAAATAAGACTTGCATCAAATATACAAAAGCAGCAGTGTTGAATTGTGAAATGTGTGGCAGGTGAATAGTATTATGTAATAATACCATAGTAATAGTATTTATGCAGTAAATATGTTCCTACTTGCAAATATGTGCAAATATCAAAGGTTTCTATATGGGTCATTTTTGACCCATGTATGTAAAATGTATGTAGAAATACAAAAACTCTGTTTGTATATAAAGTAAGAAAGAAAACATAAATATCAATATTTAATGAATATCTGGAATAACAAATGATAAAATGCATATATTTTAAAGATTCAGCAAAGAAACACTCAGCCATGACTGAAATAACATAGGAAATGAATACGGGTCATTTTAGACCCATGTATGTAAAATTGATGTAGAAATACAAAAACTGTGTTTGTTTATAAAGTAAGAAAGGAAACATAAACATAATGATTTGTGGAAATCAAAAACAAGATATTTAATGAATACATGGAATAACAAATGATAAAATACATATATTTTAAAGATTCAGCAAAGAAAACACTCAGCCATCACTGAAATAACATAGGAAATGAATACGGGTCTTTTTAGACCCATGTTGCGCATTAGAAGGGTTGTGATACAAAAACTATTTTTATTCAAAAAGTAAGAAAGTAAAAATAAAAATAAGGATTTGTGATGATCAAAAACAAGTTAATTGAGGAATACCTGGAATACTGAATGATGAAATTAATTTCTTGCAAAGATATAGAAAATTAAAACTCAGTCGGGTCTATTTAGACCCATGTTGTGCATCAAAGGGTTAAGACCACTGCGAGGTCTCAAGAGGGTACGAGAGGAGGACGAGGAGGATACAGTCTCCTCGCTCCTCTCAGGAACCTGATGATCAGGTCGTGTTTCCCCACAGACTTACCTTCTATAAGATCATGCTGTGCAGCAATAGCGGCGACATAGACCTTGAGGGTGGAGGGAGACAGCCTTCGCTCCAACCCATCTTGAAGGAAGGAAAGCACGACACTGATCGAACATCTCCGGGGGTCTTCTCGGTGAGAAGAGCACCAGTTGACGAAGAGGTTCCACTTCAACGCGTAGACGTGTCTCGTGGACGACGCCCTAGTGATGGCGTCCAGTGATGGTCGTCCAGTGATGGTAGCCACCACCGCTGGTGGTAGGGTACTCAAACCTGCCTCGTCCCATCCAGGAGCCACACGTGGAGGTTCCAAAGATCGGGACGAGGGTGCCATAGGGTGCCCCGTCCCTGAGAGAGGAGGTCCTTCCTCAGGGGAATCGGCCAAGGAGGTGCTGTGGCGAGGAGTATGAGTTTGGAGAATCAGGTCCGGGTGGGCCAGTACGGCGCGAGCAGAGTGACCTGCTCCTCGTCCTCCCTGACCTTGCGCAGGAATTGCGCAAGAAGGCTCACTGGGGGAAACGCATATTTGCGGCCCCGCGGCCAGCTGTGCGCCAGTGCATCCGTGCCGAGCGTACCCTCGGTCAGGGAATAATACAGGGCGCAATGGGTCGAGTCGTGAGAAGAGGCCGTCCTGGGACATGGGGGTGTCGAGCAGCCGGGACCGCTCAGCATCCTTCATGTCAGCCAGGTTCAGCCACAGATGTCTCTCCTGGATCACAGCTGTGGACATCACCAAACCCAGGGAGCGTGCGGTCACCTTCGTCGCCCGAAGAGCGAGGTCGGTGGCAGCGCGCAGCTCATCAAAGAGCCCTGGGTCTGTCCTACCCTCGTGCATGTCCCTGAGCATCTGGGCCTGGTAGACCTGCAGAGTGGCCATGGCATGCAGAGAAGCAGACGCCTGTCCCGCCGCTCTGTAGGACTTCGCCACAAGTGTAGACGAAAACCTACAGGCTTTGGATGGGTGCTTAGGCTCGCCACGAGAAGAAGCACTCTGAGGACACAGTTGCATCGCAACAGAGCGTTCATTCCGAGGGGAGCCCAGTGTACCCACGGGCAGCTGCTCCATCGAGGGGAGGAAAGGCGGATGAAATCAGCGAGCGGTCACGAGAAGACATGGGAGTCTTCCAGGACTTCGAGATTTCATCATGCACGTCCGGGAAGAAAGGTATTGGGGCAGGCTGCGGACGGGAACCAGCAGCTGCACCCAAAAACCAATCGTCCAGCCGCGAGCGCTCGGGACAGGGCGGAGGAGTCCACTCTAACCCGATGCACGCGGCCGCCCGGGAAAGCATGGCCGTCATCTCCGAATCAGACTGAGTCACAGCCGTATTCACACCCGAAGGCGGCAGCTGTGACGAGTCGTCACTTCCCGAAGACTCAGACCCACCTTGTGATGCCGCGATCGACATAGCATCTTCCTCTGGAGCGCCAAAGGAAACCCGCGGGGCACCCGAAGATGGTCCCGCGGCAATCCTCTGAGCACTCGCGGGTTGCAACACTGGAGAAGGTGCTGTGGGGCACGGACAAATAGTTGGCGCTTTGTTCCACACAGTCACACTCAGATCACCCTGGCCACCAGCCGAAGTAGAGCCTCTCGTGGAGGCGCTAGATCGAGGTGTGGATGAGGGGGCTCTCTCTCTTGCGAGGTCACTGAGTCTCGATCTAAGTGTTGCGATGGTCATGTTCCCACAGAGAGAACATGAGTCATCCATGAGCGCTGCTCTAGCGTGATCAATGCCCAAACACACTAGACAGCGCTCGTGCCCATCAGAGTCAGATACAAACCGACCGCAACCAGAAGTGCACGGGCGAGGCATCTTTAAAAAGACGTGCTGCGTGCAAGCTCTTTTTAGAAAAAAAGGAAAACTCAAGTGTTGAAGCGCCCGCGGAGAAACACACCAACTGGCAAACCACGCACAGATTAGCAGGAAGTGTGTCCTCACCAGGAGATCGCTGTCACACCAACACTGGAGAGTTCGCTCGTTTCGTAAAAGCTGACGAAATCAGAGAAGGCTACAGGAACGAAGGGTAAACTTGGCTCCTCAGCGAAAACATGTCTGAATTGCTGCCAGCGTTCTCCTTAAATACCCACGAGGTGAGGCGGAGTTACGCTATGCAAATTCCGCAGACCCATGGCATTTCTTTGCCATTGGCTCGTTTTGTATTACTTGAAGTTGATAGGCTTCTAAGCGAAACCCCCATTCGTCGTCATCGTGACAACGAAAGGGAACTAAAGAACTGTAGATTTTTTTTAAATGGATGGATGGATGGATAAATAGAATTTTTTACAATGCAAAACTGAAGAACTGTAGAAAAAAAAGGCTTGATTTTCTTTTTCAATAACTTTTTCTTTTGATTATGGGATTTACAGGGATGAGTCTGGCTGGTTCTCACCTTCAGCACCTGCTCTAGGTTCTCCAGTTTGCCTTGGAGCTCAGTCCTCTCCAACAGAGCGCAATCTCTCTCCACTGTCACAGTGTACAGAGCCTCCTGCAGCTGTTCATATTCACTTTTCACCTTATGGACAGAGAGAGAGAGAGAGAGAGAGAGAGAGAGAGAGAGAGAGAGAGAGAGAGAGAGAGAGAGACTAATCAAGAATGTCTTCAGGCTTACACGGTTTCCCTTCTGACCTCAGTTAGAAAGGTGAAAGGTCATTCTATCCTGCAAAAAGAAAAAAATGGTTTGAAAAATACAAACATGTCTGAGATGTGGCCTAGTGGTTTGCGCACGTGTTTGACACACTAGTGCTCATGCAAATGACAGGTTTGAATTCAGTTTGAATCATCTCTAGGCCCTGTTCCACCCTTATACTCCGGCTCTCTCGCTACATTTAATAAACTATTTAAGTGTGATTTTACAAGGGGAAAACAAAAAAAGATTATTTAGTTCATTTATTTCATACCAACTACTGAAGGTGAGAGTTTAAGATAGTAGTTCTGAGCATCAAACTGCAGTGGTTGTCTTTGGATCTGCAGTGGGGTAGAGGAAGATCATGTATGAATAACACCATCTGGACGCATGTGGCCACAAGGCTAATAGGTGAAATCGTTCAACAATCTACAAACCTCCAGCATACGATACTCTTATAAACATCAGGGTCTGGGAAGGCAGCTCTAGACGCTTGTATCCTGACCAGCACATCTGCTCCAATGTTTTTATTGTTTTTATTTCAGTTCATGTAACCACAGTTGCGAAGTACTACTATTTTACAAACAGCCAAATAGAAGATACAATTTAATCAAACAAAGCTAAAATAAAATAAAACATTTATTTATTTAGAATATATTTTTTTGTTAAAAAAGAAAAGAAAAAAATGTTGAATAAAAACACGGTATTAATATTACCAAAAGAACAATTAACCTGCTTCTTGTCGTAAATGTGTTAAAAAATTCTGAAAATATTTTTCAAAAGTAGTTTGTTTCTTGTAAAATGTTTGAAATGAGAAAAGATTACTTTGTACACCTTAAAAATTAAAATTCACAACAATGATGTAAAGTACATCAATAATGACTATTTTAAAATATTATATCACAATATTATAAATCTAAAAATTATAATACATAATATGATAATAATAACATTACATCTCCACTGTTACATCATATGAAAGGGTTCCTTCAAATAATTAGGCCTACATTTTGCTAATAAATACTTTGATCCTTTGAAAATGATATTTTCTGTTTGTCGTCATTCACTTTTATGCAATAAATGGAGCATGTGTAGTCAGCACTGAGCTCTGGGGTGAGAGTCGTGTATTTAGAGGCCGAGAGCAGAGGGGTTGACGTCCTGTATCGATCGCAGCGTCAGTCATGATAAAAAGCTGAGCTGACAGAGTCAGAGGTAGCAAGTACACACTCCACGTCTGTCCAATCTGACACTCATCTCTTATCTGCAACCTGAACCACACACACGTACTGAAACAGCAATTACAGCCGAATATGCTTGTTCTAGAGGAAATGTGTTTGACCTATTACACTTGTATAGTTGTTTCTTATAACATTCAACCGGCATGTCGTTGGATAGTCATAGTGGTGTTGACACTCAAGTACAAATTAAACTGATATCTAAACTGACCATATTTTTTGTGTAAAGTAAGAGTAAAAAAGTTTTTATAATCTTTCATGAAAATGTAATAACTTTGTTCACCTTTGAAACAACTTACCGTAATTTTATTCTTGGATAACCAAAGCATGAGGGCAGGTAAAAAAAATTTATTAAGCAATAATATCAAAGTCCAACATTTCATGATCCAACTATATCTGACTAAAGTTCTTCTCTATTATTTTTCAACATGCTGTGAATGTTGTTTCATGTGTTTAAAGGGACACTTCACCCATTTGCATTAAGCTTTGTATTGTTAGAAACCAAGTCATATATTATAATGATCGTGGATTTTTCCTTTATTTTTCCCTGAGATGGGAGAAATAAGGATTTAAGTGTTTTACTTCCTGCTTATTATGACGTAAAAATCGTAATTTTGCGTCATAATAAGCAGGAAGTCACATTTCATTGAAAAGACAGTAGCTCATCATTTATTCAGGGGGAGGGGCCCACTCACGCTACAGACCTATTACAGATCAGTGGGTGGGACTTAACTTGCCGAAACTAATAGCAATATCCACCATCTTGTTTGGAAGCTAAGCTAACAAGCGCTGTGGAGCCAGATGGGAAGTTACGACAATGATGGAAGGAAATAAACATGATATGCAAGAAAAGATGATTTTGAAAGTCTTCTGCTCAAATCCGATGTTCGTGGCTATCTTTACGAGCCGCAATACAGCAAAGTGTCGGATTGCCGACACGAGCGGGTAGAACGACAGGACCAGTCCGCCTCAACTCGAGCCAGTGTGGGCTCCTCGTCCGCGACAGGCAGGTCTTCTGCATCGGCTGCAGAAGCGGCAGTAGCCGCGCCCTGTTCCTCCATCAGCCAAATCAGAAGACCTGCCTGTCGCGGACGAGGAGCCCGGACTGGCTCGAGTTGAGGCGGACTGGTCCTGTCGTTCTACCCGCTCGCGTCAGATTGCCAACACGAGCGGGTAGAACGACATGACCAGTCCGCCTCAACTCGAGCCAGTGCGGGCTCCTTGTCCGTGACAGGCAGGTCACGTTCTCGCGTTCTACCCGCTCGTGTCGGCAATCCGACTGAAATATCCAGCTCCAGATTGCCAGTACTGCGGGCACCAGCAAGTTGAGGAAGCTCAGGAGGAACTATTGTTGTTACTATTGTATTGTTGAACTTTTATTGTTATCATAATTATTTTTGTTGATACCATTATTGAAATAAATGGTTCACATTTACGTTGTTTTCCTTATTAGTGTTTTATTCCACGTGTATGTTAGATAAATTTGGACGACCAACATTCCATCAGTGGAATTAATGTTACTAACCTACTGTTACCTTACATGATAATAGATAACAAAATAATGGTCATGCCTACATATTTTTATTCTTATTTTGCAAATCCAAATTGCATTACAATGTTCGGACTGAACATTCAACATAAATAGAAACGAGGAGTAATTCAATAATGATTTAGGCAACAAACTAGATTTTTTTTCTGTGAAATGAATTTCAAACTCTGGCGGCACCCAGCCTTGTAGACGGTAGAGTGCTTTCTCTGAATCTGATAGGCGGATACCTCCTCATCATTGTTCTGGATTATTGGGAGTGGCTTGCGGAGCTGTGCAATGTGGTGCATTGTGGGAGTTGTGGTTTTCAGTACAAATGCGCCCTAAAGTTACTTTCTGTCTTTACTCGGTCAAGAAGGCACCAAATTCGAAAATTGTATTATATTTCGACTACATATATGACCCACTTTCAATAAATATGAATGTTCCCACGGGTGAAATGCTCCTTTAAGGCATTGTGCCATTATAGGGCAGTATAATTCATTTACCCAAATTTGCATACTTTAGAGGGAAAATGTATTATAAAACACAATGTGGATGTGGTTTTAGATTTATTCAACTACAATAACCAGGGCTGGACTGGGACAAAAAAAATCGCCCCTGGCATTTTGGCCAAGACCGGCCCATTACATATGATCATAAACACAACCGATCTTCGCACGCCCTTGAAAACCTTGTTTACCAAATGTATACCAACTCCTATTCCTTAAAACCACTAATGCCATGTAATGAGTGAGTAGGAATGAGTAAGAGTTAACAGATGAAATAACTACTAATTGTAAAATACAATTGAACTATACTTCACAGTGATGAATCCAACAAGCTATAAACTGCATTGGCATAGCAATACCAATGTTTCCCACAGGAGTTTTGGTAAATCTGTGGTGAGTGGACCTCTGTCCCTCTAGGGGGGTTCGGGGACACAAACGCGTCTCATTAGAATTCTAGTAAAATGCGTAATCGTCAAATATGCAGATGTGGAAATAATGCATAACTGGGTAATGGGTTCCTACTGTTACGATTAAGTCCACTGGAAGCAAGTTGAGGTGAGAACCCAAATGCAATTTATTACAAAACAAGATAAACACAAAACAAAAGCATGACAAGGCATGGAAACCTCTAAACTAAAACAGGAACACAAACCAAGACTAGAGAACAAGATACTGGAGCCGGGGAATAGAACAAACAATACTCGACAAAGACACAGGGCAAACATGAGTGTTTAAATACATACAGGACTAACGACGAGACAAGGGGGACACCTGTGAACAATCAACCAATGACAACATGACACAACAGACAAGGGAACACAAGGCAAGATCACATGACTAGAATAGGGAATCACATGACAGACAAGAACCAGGAACAAGAAACAAAACTCAAACCGTGAAACCTACACTCATAGCCTAAGTGTTCTGTGGGTAGCCTAGTTCTGCCTACCGCAGTTCTCTACACGCACTAATTTCTCTCTTTATCCTCCTCACTGTCCTCATCAGCCACTTGAAGGGCCTGTTTCCTTTTTCAAGCTATTTCTCTTGTGTTCCTTCCGTTTCTTCTCCATCTCTCTGACTATTTTGACAGATACACACTGACACTGTATGCTCGCTGAGAGCCCAGAGGGGGAGGTTTTTAAAGATGTGATTGGACCAGCCCAGTGTCAATCAAAAAAAGAACCAATGGGCCGCTAAACTATGCGTTTCATGGGCTGGTCTGTGAGGAAAAGAAAACTACGCTGACTTTTTTTGTCCAATGCATTACACCGGCACAAAGATCCCAGCGCCGCCAATTATGCAAAACAAAACAAAACGAATGGGCCGCCTATGTACGAGTTTTATGGGCCGTTCAGACAATAAAAAAAATATATATATATATATATATATATATATATATATATATATATATATTCTTTTTTTTTTTAAGTATGAGATGTATCGGCCCAAAAAGCACGTCGACCCACTGGGTCTGCCCGATGGCCAGCCCACCCCTGACAATAACCCTTAGGAAAGAAAAACCTTGGGAAAGAATGTACGTATAGAGTATATAAGAGTATAAAAACAGCCGCAAAACGCTACTATTTCACTATTTAGTCAGCTACAGTAGCAAATAAA